TGTGGATATGATACCATGGGAATGATGGAGACATGGTGGGATGGCTCCTACGATTGGAGCTTTTAAAGGGAAGGTTTTAGGCTTTTTAGCAAAGACAGGCAAGGGACATGAGAAGGGGATGTAGCCTCTGCATCAATAACCAGCTGGAGTGTATGAAACTCTGCGGAAGGATAAGGATCCCGCCTAGAAGAGCTTGTTGGTGAAGAGTAGAGGGAGGGCAGGGACAGGGGATGTTATAGGAGGGTCTGCTACAGGCCACCCAATCAGGAGGATGGTGTGGATGAAGCCCTCCATAGGCAGACAAAAGTGGTCTCAAGCCCTGGTCCTCATGGGGGGTTTCAACCACTGTGATATCTGTTGGAGGGACAGCACAGAAGGACATAATCCCTCACATGTGTCAACAGCAATTTCTGTACACAAGCAGTTGAAGACAGCCAACAAGAAGGTGCTGTACTGGACCTTGTGCTTATCAAGAGGGAGGAGCTGGTAGGGAATGCAGTGTTCCAAGGCAGCCTTGGCGACAGTGATCACAACATAGGGGGATTCAAGAACCTCAAGGCAGTGAGGAGGGTACACTGCAAGTTCACTTCCCTGGCAGACTTTGGCCTCTTCAAGGACTGTTGAGTACAGTCCCATGGGATAGAGTCCTGGATGGCAAAGGGTCACAAGAATGCTGGCTGAATTTCAAGGATCACCTCTTCCAAGCTCAGGAAGAACTCATCCAACAAGGAGGAAATCACGCAAAAATGCTAGGAGACCATCCTGGATGGATCCGGAGCTGCTGAGCGAACACAGAGCAAAAAAAGAATCTTTCAGGAAGTAGAAATGAGGATAGATGGCCTGGGAAGGAAACAGAGGAATTGTACAGGAAGTTAGGGAAAAGGTTAGGGAAGCCAAGGCCCAGACAGAATTGAGTCTGGCCATGGACATTGAGGATAACAGAAAGGGCTTCTATAGATATGTTGCAAGCAAAAGAAAGACTAGGGATAACTCCGACTCTCACCAATAGGAAATAGAAGACCTGGCTACCCTGGAAAAAGTTCTCTTTTCTCAGCTAGGCTGAGGTTCTCAACAACTTCTACACCTCATTCTTCAATAGCAAGTGCCCCAGCCATGCCTCCCTGGTGAAAAAAGACAAATACAGGGACTGAGAGAATGAACACCTTGAGCCCACTGCAGGAGAGGATCAGGTTCAAGACCATCTAAGGAGCTTGAATGTGCACAAGTTCATGGAACCTGAGTAGATTAATCTGTGAGCTCTGAGGGAACTGGCAGATAGTGGCTAAGCCACTATCTATCATATTTGAAAAATCATGTCAGTAAGGTGAATTGAGTGAGTCCCTAATGACTGGAAATAGGGAAATATAACCCTGATTTTTAGAACGGGGAAAGCAGAAAATATGGAGACCTATAGTCTAGTCAGTCTCATCTCTGTGCCATGCAAGATCATGGAGCATTGCTGAGCCCTGGGTTGTGAGGCAGCACCAGCTGCAGCACTGTAGGAGCTACCTAGCCTTCCTAACCAACACCTTTGCATCGCTTGTAAGTAAGAGCAGTGCTTAAATCATGTGCAAATTATGGTGTTGAGTGAGCAGAAGCAACATTTGTTCTTTGTTTTCCATTTCTTTTCATTTTCATTTCTCTTCTTTCATTAAGAGCTGTAGTTTAAAGGAGATTGGGTTTTTTGATTTTTCACCAAAGTGCCCAATGTTATTATTAATTCTGTGGAATCAAATTGTTTAATTGTGTGGAGTGAAAGAAGGGAGAGTTTCATCCCTGTTTGGTCTGTAAGAGAAAAAATTGTTAATTGGTAGCTTCTCACTTCTTGTTTCTATATATGCCAGCATTTACATTTTTAAAAATAAAATTACTTGGCAATGATTATGAAGTGTTCCTTTGTATACCATGCAATTATGAGGAATCTTTCATGCATAAATACTTTACTCTAGTTTAATCCTCTCTGAGGATGCGAACCTCTATAGCAATTTCAGATTAAGTTACTGTGAAGCAAGACTACTTTGCTCTTGAATGAGTATATCTGGAGGAGAGATTAATGTACTTTAACACTGATGTCACTCCTGTAGCTGCTTTGTTTTAACTTTTCTGAGTATGTTAGACATGGCCTAAATTTAAAGCTTTCAGTATTTTTGTGTGAATAATATATCCAAAACAGAGGAAAGGGAATTTCAGTGCCCATGTGGAGACTTAGACTTTGAGAATATTTGAATACATTTGGCCGTGGAAACAGTTCAGGTTTATGACTGGAATTCTGGCACTGTATATCTTATAATTTCTCTCTTTAGTACCATTATGATTTCATGGCCATAGCAAGAATTCAAATCTCATTTCTGTTGTCATTCCCTATGACTGACTTAGCCATGTCCTCATAAAGGCCTTCTTGAGCTTTACTTCCCAAAAAACTGAGCAGAACATAAGGGGAAAAAAGTTTATTGCATCAGTTGGGTAATTTGACTCCCCGTCACCCCAAGATGCTACTCTAATTCTTTTCAGATGTAGTACAATGAGAGTGTGTGTTGATGCTGCCCCACAATACTTGTAGTACAAGTAGTATGGGAAGAGGCTGTAGATGGATGCAGATGGGTGAAGAATTAGAAGAGATAATATTGGTCAGTTGACCAGCTAAAATAAAATTCATCAGCGGTTGAGTTTCAATGCTATTTTTTTGAATAGTAGAGCTCTGTGTGTGTGCTCTCCTCAGGACTGCCACCCCTGAGAACAGACCATGGAAGCAGCAGGCTTGCAGTGCCAGTTGCACTTTGGGGAGGGAAATCTCCTGCTCCTCCACTGGCTGTTTCCTACCACTGTTTGCTGCAAAATCAGGTCTAGTCACTGGCATTTCAGCCTACTTTCAAACAAAGTGCAGCAGTTACTATGATTGTAAGATTTCATGGTGGCAAAAAGGAGGAGATTTTTCATTAATAAAAGGCAGAACTTCTACTTAGAGCATTTCCCCGTCTGTGCCATGTCCAGACATGAGAGTTATACTTTGCATATTTTAAGAATATTGTATTAAAAGAGTTGGGAATTTAGTAAAAAAAAAAAAAAGGAAGTGTAACAATAGAAAAGGAAATAGAAAAGTAAAATCAATCAAAATTTAAAATGTGTAGAATAGATGAGATGAAAAATGGCAGAGGCTATCAGAGGCTATTATTATAAAGTAACATCCACACTCCCCTTCCATACTGATAGTATTGAATTAAAACCAGAACATGATATACTGGACATGATATACTGGATTGCAACAATTTTAGATTTTGTTTTTTCCTCTGTGCCTTTTTAAACTTTATAAGTTCTGATGTGAATTTAGGCCATAAAGAAAACAGCCATAAAGCAAAATGTATGAAAGACTGATGCACATTTGAGTGCTTTTGAAAGTCTTCAAGGAATTTAGGTAACTCTGAATTTCCAGAAAGACCTGGGGCTGTCAAACAACAAGGACATCAATAAAGAATTAAGAGAATAAGTAGATCTTTCAGGGCAAATATGCAGGTGTTACTGAACTCTCTTAATGCATTTTATTTTACCCATCACTTGACTGGTTCACTTTTATGATAGAAGAGGCATGAATCATAAATAAATGCTGACTTTTTTATTTTAAGAGGCCTTTTTGTTATGTTTAAACAGCATGGGAATGGAACAACTATTTTTTCCTTGAACCGGGGCCATCTTGAGCAATGTCCTCATAAGGCATTCTCCAAGAAGTACTGAGTGAAGACACTGCCCCAAGGATTAAAATGACAACATAAAGGTTTTGTTTGTAGACCAAAGTCATTGCATTTTGGATGAATTGGTTTTGTGCTGGGATATGCTACTTACCTGCTGTGGTGGACAAGGGATTTAAACAACTGGTTTAAATTAAACTATAGAAGTAGGGTGGGAGGCAGGAGTTGTATTTGCCATTTTTTGTAACATATTAGGAGTGTTGAGACTTGATTATGAAAAATGGAAAACAGTAGACTTATTAGGCCTGTTTTTCTAGTGTTGCTTTTTTATCTCAAGACTGAAGCTTTGCTGAGGTGAATGGCAGTACATAATGTTTAATTCAACGTACAGTTAGCAAACTAAGTTTTACACTACATCAATTATACCTAGGCTATGTATCATGAGGTGGTTTATTAGTGTTTTCATAAATTATTTGACATTTCTAGTCTGGATGTTGGAGATAAATGCAGTGTGCTCCTGCAGCTGATCCTTTGCTTCTACCAATGGAAGGAATCTAAAGATTTGAAAGGATCACAGCACCATACTCCCTTGAGTTTTGTGATTTACACATTTTGTGATTTACACATTTTGTGATTTATTCTCTCAGTCACAATAGTACCTGCACTTTTTTCAAATATCTCACTTGATGTACACTGACTAGCAGGAATTGTTAAAGCAGATTAAACTGTTGGGCATTAAAACCTTGCTAATACTGGCTAAAGCTGGACACTTACCTGAGCCAGGCAGCACAGTGCAGAGAATATTGGCTTGACATTGTGGATTCTACTCCTCACAGGAAGTTACTGCATCATCACAGACCACAGGGCCACATCACAGAGCTACTCCACTGAAGTTATTAACCCCTGTCTTTCAGCACAAAGTAAACCTCATGCAAAGTTTATCTGTTTGACTACGGAGGTCTAGCAGTGTAAAACTGTCTCTGAAACCAATTTAGCTGAGGAGATCCTAGCTGCAAAGAGAATAAATTGTTCACCATCTTCCTAGAGTATTCATTGGGCACTCTATGAATGAGGTGCTTTGCCTCATCTGCCAGGTAGGTATGGAGCAATTGAAAGTGTCTGAGAGTTCTCTAAAACAGTTGACAGCACCAGAATAATGCCTATTTTTCTGAATCTTTTCCTTTTTTTTTTACAACTAGCACTTTGTTGATAATATTTCAGGAGTTTGTGCTGTGGGTTACATTTGTGCTATGAAAGAGAGTAACAAGAATGTGAAGATCTCTACTGATTTATCCATGTCTCTTTACTTCTTTACAGTATTTTATTTGCAGACATTGTGGGGTTCACTAGTTTGGCATCGCAGTGTACTGCCCAAGAGCTGGTGAAGCTGCTGAATGAACTTTTTGGAAAATTTGATGAATTAGCTACAGTAAGTAACACCCTGTTAATTCAATTTAATTTACATTTCCTTCTGAAAAATGATTCATGAGTTATATATGTTAGAAATCTGTAATAGACTGATTTGGCCCCACATGTCATGAATTTCTAAAGCTTCAATCTTTTTTTAATATTCTAGAGAAAAAACAATCTCTTTTAATGGTTTAGGAAAGAAATGTAAGTGTTATTTTTAAATATACTTTTCTTGCCCCTTCATGCAGCCCATCAGTGTCCTTCATTGGTTTTGTTTGTACAAAACAGAGAAATTTTTTCAATATTTACAATTTTATCCTTCATCCAAAAAAATCAGAACAATGGAAAGTATGAATATTGGCAGTATGGCATAAAACTTTCTGTGATAATAGGAAGCTAGAGAGTAAAATTCATTCTTCACAGAGAGCACTCCTTAAAACAGAAATGATGGTAGCTTTTCAGAGAGGTTATTGTAGGCAAAATAGGATAGATATAATAAATTGATGCCTATGTTTTTGTTGTTGCACTTATATTGTGCTAGATTCCCCAAGGAAGAGAAAATGAGAGAAATGTTCCTTGCCTATAACTCCAAGCAGCCTGACTTGACAAGAACCATGGGATGGGAAATGAGAGAAATTGCTGTGCCAGAAAAAGTCACACATCTTGTTTCAAATTACATTTAACAAGATGTTGAAAATATGTCTTCCCCTGAACAAATCAGAACTTCATCAAATCTTTCTTATTTGCCAGCTGTCCTTAAAACCTTCATTGCTGAGAAGTTACTCTTCCACATAAATTATACTCCTCTACTGTCTAACTGTTTTGTCTTCAGACTCCATGTAGCAGCCTAAAAAAAATATTTGTTTAGGTCCTCGACATAAATAGCATCGACATTTTTTCAGTCCAAACTCACTTACTCACTTCTCCTTGATGCAGTCTTTCACATGAGAGATCTAAAGCCTGTGGACATTTTGCATCTAAGTCTCCCTCTTGATAAACAGCTCTCAAGAACCCCAAGGAGAAAGAAACCTTCTGCTCCACAAGGTCCTAGGGTTGAGAAAGACCCTTGGCTAAGGGTCTTTTTCTTAGTTAAGTGGGTTATCCTTTGATGGAGTGCTATGTTCTGATTTGCACTAGATGTTCAAGTCATAATAGAAAAGTCTTGTGTGTTCCCTTTTTTCCAAGAAAAGCAGAAGATTAACTTAGATGCTTAGTAGAGATGCAGTGGAATCCTAGGGGGTTTAGGCATGAATTTTTGCAACCAATTCATTTCTGCAGCTACTGGCAGTATGTCATAGAGAGCACAGGTCCTCAGCCCAGAGTACTTCATAGATCTTGCCTTAGAAATAAAAATGAACTTCCATTCAGATAGTCATTTGCAAGAGCTTAGATGGTTTAAGTTCAAATATCTTTCTTACTTGGATTGCATTTTAATTATATGTCAACCAAACATCTAATAGGCTCTTTTAAAACTTACCATGCTGTCATTTGTGGAGTCTTTATAGCCATGAAATACAGAGCCATGTAACAAAAGGGAAATACTGTAATATAACACAAGATCACATGTATGCACACAGAAATACATAAGCCTAAGATGTGTCCTGGCCCTGAAGCCAGGGAAATACCTTACCATGGTTGTTCCCTTAGCCATGGCCATGTGCTGCCAGTGAAGGTGTCAGTGACACCAGAAGGCAGGTGCCAGGCAGATGCCAGCCTTTGGTGCAAGGTCGGTTGTTGGTCATGGAAGAAGCAGTTTGGAGATTGCAGAAGAGCAAAAAAGCCTTAGTTTTTCTGTTCAGCCTGCAAGGATTCTTTTTCAAATCTACAGGAAAAAATCTCGTGGTTTCTTTCAGCTATGTGAGGAAGATTTGCTACTTAGGAGTACTTCTAGTTTAGACTGTGCTTCACTGAGGTGTGGTTAAGAACAGACAGACAAGCTTTCCTTATCACCTTCTGATGTGATTAAGGGAGACTTGTAATTGTGTCTTGTGCAGTCAGATAAATGTGCTGAGAAATACAGGTTTTCAGAAGGATTCTGATCTCTTGGTTAAAGCAGCTTCTAGGTATTCATTATTAGGTCAAAAGAGAGCACTGGGTTGATTTTAAAATTGTGCTGTGCTTGAGTATTCAGAATGATTAAGGAGGAAATTGCAGAGACTTTAAAGAAGAGTGTAACAGTGATAGGTAGGGTCCCTGTGATTACTGAAATGCAATCTGTGAGTGTGCCTGTTGTGTGCTGCTGTTTGTGTGCTGCTGTTCCTTGGGAAGCAATGCCACCTGGAAGGTGCAGTTTATGACTATCTTTCTTGAAACAATTTGTCTTTCTTAAAAATATAAAGAATTTTAAAAGAATCCCCCTTACCACTGTGGAAAGTGTAATAAGACAGCATATATTTGCTGGGAGCCTCAAGATGAATCTTGACATTTTGACAGATGGACACATTGTAGAAATAGTGAGTCTTTGCTTTTTGACAGTATAGTTCTGCTAAAATTTGTCTTTCTTGCATTTGGAAGCTTGTTTATGCTTTTTATATTAGTTATTTCTCTCCTTCCCTGTGCTATTTCTTTGGATGTTTTTTGGTTTGTAGCTTTTGGGGTTTTTTGGGGTCTTTTTGTAAGGCACATAGTTTTGCTCTCTTTGAAATGCTACCTTTTTTTTTTTTTAATCACAATAGCTTCAGATATAGTTACAACTCATGATAGGGAGTTCTGAAAGTGAACCTTAGGTTTCAATATAAAGTCATTCAATTCCTTTGAAAATGTACTTTAGCATTCTGTTAGTAGAGAGGGGAAAAAAATCCTGATCTTACTACTTCCTCCTAGAATTCATTTGTACCTTTATCATGTCCTTTCATATCTATTCACCTCTAGAGAAAGTTTTTTTAAACCCTTATCTTGCACGCATTCTTTTACCTTGCAAATCACTGAGTCTTTGAGTGCTAGGGAAGAGATTATCTGAATGCATTACTTAAAATCATAAAATATCTTGAGTTGGCAGGGATCCATAGAGATCATCAAATCAAAAGCCCTGCTCCTCTCAGTACTACCTAAAACTAAACCATATGATAAAGAGTATTGTCCAGATGCATCCTGAAAATGATGGCATGGCTTTTTGTTTTCTTTTTCACAATAGCACTGTTTGGTTTCTTAAAGAAACAATCTTAGGTAATCATATTTCATGTAGGATTTGTGGTCTTCTCAGTAACTTTTGAGTTCTAATGCCAACTTCAATCACTTTGAAGGAATGTGAGCCTCAAAAATATAACCAAAAATGAATGTCATTATATTAGTATCCTTGCAGGAGTGTGACTTCATCCAAGACTGACATCAGAGAATCCACATGGGAAGGTACTGTTACGAATGCCTCAGGGTTCATTTGTATGTCTGGTTAATGAAGTTTTGTAATGTGACTGTCTTTAGGCATTCTGATAAGGCATTTTGGGTAAGCTTGTCGCTGCATGGATTCCCTTGGGACATAACAGTAACAAGGCATCTTCCTGAACATAGAGTTGGTGAAGTTTCTCATAAGGCCCATGAATAGTTCAACTTGAAAGGATTGATTTCTATTGGATTTTATCTGCTGCTCAGGGTTAGTTTACTTAGTTCTGGCTGTTACTCTGAAGTTTTTTTGGTTTCCTCCCATTAAACAAGAGTAGCTTTGTGCAGTCCCAGATTTGGCCCTGCTGATAGTCATCCTGCATTACATATTATTAATAAATGCTTCAAGCAACTGATCTTTCAATGAGGTCTTCAGATGCCTTGCAATCAACCTTTGATACTATAGCTAGCTTTCAGTTTGTCCTTCTTCACTTTACTTATAAGAGTTACAAATTTTAATGAGACATAATCACTTGCATTATGCTGTCATGGTCAAAGTTCTATTATGTTTTGATGCAGTTTAGACATGTCCCAAATATTTTACTTGTAATATGTCATCTTAATAGAAAAGAGGAGACAATTCTACAGCATCCTGAATTTTAATGAAAAAGGTTTGATTTTTAGAGAAGTTTCTATTTTCTTTTATTACTTTTTTCTTTGGTATATTTTTTTCACATGCTTCCTGCATCTAACCTACATGGAGAATTAATTATTTTTCTTTAGAGATTCAGATAGTTCCCTTTCAGCATCCATCTTTCTGCATCTTGGGACTTCTAAGACTTTTCATTTACAAGCTGACAAGGATAAAAGAATTTTAGGTGCTTTTCAAAGGACATCACTAGAAGAGAGTTTTAGTATTCTGAATGAAAGTTCTTACTTCTTCATGCTACTTTTGGTATCTCATCTGTTAGGTAGACTGATACTGCTTCCTTATTCTTTCCATTTACAGTTGTGTATGCCTCCAGGCTTTGTCAGGCTGAATCTATTTATATTTCTTTCCATTTTAATTTAGTATCCTTCCCTGATTGTCTCCTTAGCATTTAACAATTTTTACTTTGCATATTTCAACATTAGTGAAGTGTCTCTTGCTACCAGTTCAAGCTCAAAGATACTGAACTGAAAAACATTGTTTCTGAGCCTTAGGCAAAGAATCAGTAGATAATATTTTTAATCAGCTTGTGTGATTTTTAACTGTGTCAAGAACAGTTAGTTCTTTGCTGAGCATTCAATTAGATTTTCCTAGAAGTAATCACTCTAAAAAATTGTTTATATTGCATCTGTAGAATGCTTTTAGTTTATGTTAAGATAAATATGATGCATTTTTAAAATACAAAATAAACTAAGTTTTGTGGAGTGTTTAATATGGGAAAATTAGTGCTGAAAAACATAAGTATAAACTTACAGAATGTAACCCTTCTTTGTGAAAATTTCTGGGCACCAGGGGGCAGGATATTTATAAATGCCAATTTTAAAGAGACTTGTCTCCTCAGTTTCCCATGAAAGTCAGCACAAACACACGATCCCACTGAGGTAGATCACCACATAAGTTTAAATCTAGTTCTGGACAGCCATCTGGAGATGTCTCCTGGAGAGACCTAAGGAAGTAAACTTTCTTAAAGGAAAGTGTTCTCAATCAATATG